TGTTGCTTCTTTCTAGAAAACGTCATTGATGTTGTTCCTTCACAAAATTACATAGGGGCTTCGCCAAAAATCCCCCAAATCACGACCACCACAGGTTCCCTCTCACTCTTCTCTGCCTACAAACGCAATGCCTTTAACCCTTGTAAAATCACTTTCTCTCTCTTCAATGTTTGTCTCTCTTTCTTTCTCTCCCTCTCTATTTCATGTTTTTTTCTCTGCTGCAATTCTAGAATTTTAGATTAATTTTGGAAGAGAGAACAAATTGTTTGTCGAGACATAAAAGATCGAAATATATGGTGGGGAGAGTTTCTTCTCTCCTCAATGGAAGGCGGCTAACAGGTTCCTCCTTCGGCCACCGCCGTCATTACAACGTCCGTTAATGTCACCACCTCGCCTCCGCTCGTGGATCCCTCCGTTAATATCACTTCAAGGAGAAGCTACCTTGGTTGAGAAAGATGAGCTTTCGACCTGCAACTGGAGGCACCGCCGATCGAAAGCGTCTCCGGCTCGTTCCCTTCCTCTTCCAAAACGGGTTCACCAAATTGCGAGAAACGCCGAACTGTGCATCCACCACTGGCGCTCCAACCACCATTTCCACTTTTCTTTACCCATTGCTTCTTTCTTCTATCTGTTGGGTCTCTCTTTGTTGTTTGTCTATCTGGGAAGAAGGTTTTTGGGTAGGATTTCTGGGTGATGCTTGTAATGGAGGATGATTTTCTTTAATATTTTTAATCAAACATTTTTCATGTTAAACTTAGGACATTCCACATAACACTCAGCTTATGTCATGTTTTAAAAATTAACACATCAACCTCTCACCTGTGCAAATCCCGTTAAGTAAATTTAACAGTGGGGTTCAATTGATTCAAATTAACACTTTTAAAGACTCAATTGGAAATTAAAAAAAATAAGGAATTAAAATAGGAAAAACAAAAAAAAAAGAGGCAACTAAAGGTTTAAACCTAAAATTTAATATAATATTTTTTATTATGTGAATAGAAAAAAGTGTTCAAGTTAATTTTAGGTAGGAAAACTAATGTGATATAAAGAGGAACATAAAAAAGTTTGGCAAAAGTGAGATCGAAAAGATAATGATCAAATATGTATTTCTAGTTGTTAAAAAAAAATATTTCATCATAATCATAAATACTGAATCAACATAATTTTTCTTTCTTCTTCCATCGTGAATAAGATTAATAAGAGGATTAAGGAACTGAAATTTTGTGATTAAATAGTAGAACTGTTCAAAAATTCTCGAAGAAACAAAACCATTGCCATATAACGAGGCAGAGAAAAAATAATTTAAAAAAGAAGAAAACAAAGAAAGAAGAGAAACGTAACCCTAGAATTCGTGCAGTATTAAAATTGGATGTAGCGTACTCTCACTAAGAACACGCGCCTCTTCTTCCTCATTCATCTCTCACTCTCTCTTCCTCTGCACCGTTTCCTGTCGGCTTTCTCTGTCCACCCTCTTTCGTCGGATTTTAAAACCCTAGACTACCCGTTTCTCTAACCCCAACTCAAATCAGTTCGAATCCAATCCAATCGACGCGCTAGGTAACTCACTCTTCCGAGATCTTCGATATTCATTCCGAATTCATTTTCTATTTTTCTCTACAATCTATTTTTCGTTGAACATATCCATCAGCAAGCTACAGAATCATCATTTGTGCGTCCTTTTCGTTTTCCATTTCATTTTTCTTTCTTTGAAATCTGGAACTGTATTCAAAGGACGGCCTATGAATTGATGCTTTTCTTCTTCTTCTTCTTCTTCTTCCTCTTCCTTTCGACTCTGTGGAAACATAATCCCGAATTTGATTGAAGATTCCGCGTTTAGCACAATTCAGCAAATTTATAACGATGAAGATTGAATTGGAATATTTGTCTTTTGTCCTTCTTTCTTTCCTGCTTGCATAATCCACACAAACAAACAGATAACCTGAGGACCAATTTATCATATTTTCTACTTCAATCTGTTTCTTCCTTAATTAACTTCGATTTAATCGTATGTGATCAAATTCACCATATTTGGGGTATTTGGTAATAATATTTGCTAATTCAACTTGTGCGTTTCTATAGTTATTTATTATTTATCGGAGTTTGTGATTCCAGGTACTTTGAACTAAGTCTCGGGATTTCCCTCTTTCTCTGTTCACGTTTGTTTTGGTCGATTTTTTCAATGATTTATTTGAAAGGATTTATTTTGTTTTATTACTTTGTTTTTCACGGGGTCTAACCTGTGTGTAAAGAAAGTTTATAGTTAGTCCCAGCGTCTTCTCGTTTTGGTTGGGTTGCGCTTAATTTATTGAAACAAGTTAGTTGCTCAGAGAAGAAGTACAAAAAGAAAGAAGAAACAGTTTTCGTACTAATGCTCGTATTTATGCATGTTACTGTGCTATTGTGTTGTACTCTTGTTCAATGTCCTGGTTCTTTTGTTCGCTTTTCTAATGATGTGTTGTTTTGTTGGGAAATTATACTGTCGTTATCCTGTGTCTCTCAACGTCGCCATTTTTCTTATTTTCTTGTTTTCGTGCTATTGCTTCCTAATTGCTCTGTTGTAATATTTGCAGAACTTTCTCAATCGATGCAGTCAGGCGTTTGTTGCTAGGCTGCTGTATTCTCGTAGCTGCTCCTGCTGTTTTATGGAAATACGTGTCATTAGTAATAGGTGAGGTTCGTTCAAATGCTCTCTCATATTTTCTTATATGCTAAATTTTGATGCATCAGTTAAAGCTTGGCAGACATCTAAGTCGTCTATTTTATAATGAATCATTTGGCATGATAAAAGTCTCATTATGGTTTTAAAAAACAGCTGGTCACAAGACTGGTTTCTTCCAGTTGGTTCAAAACACAGTATAAAGTGGTGGTCATCAGGGTCTGATAAGCACTTTTGGTGTTCTTGTGAGAAACAAACTAATAGAGGAGACAGTTTTTGTGAGAAACAAACTTACAGAGAAAGCAATGTGCTTGATTTATGAAATGCTGTATGGTGTAAAACATTTTATATATAATAACTATTGATTACTTCAACTACTTTCACTTGGCGTACTCTGGACAATGACTCAGGTACTCTCCATTTGGGGGATTATTTGGGTTGATTTTTAACACCTTTTTGAAGGGCGGGTATGCAATTTAATGACCTTTTGCTTCATGCATAACCATAACTATAGTTTTTGTTTTGCTGGCCTGTGATGCCCTTGCAAAACGGAGATCTTTGTACCCAGTTCATTTATTTAAGTGTTATTTTTTATGATTAGATTTATCCGCTTTCTTGATGATTTATCTTACGTTTCAATCCCTGTGGATAAAAATTCTAAAAGAAGTTTATGGACAAGTTTTTTCTTTGAAATTTTAATTTATAGTCTTTTTCTTATTTTGGGCCAATGAACATCTGGTGTTTGGAAAACATAAGTTTATTTTTTGTGAGTTTCTCTTCTGATGCTATCTATTACCCATTTTTATTTTAGCGAGCATGCAAAACTTGACTGCAACCATGTTTATTCTGGCAGATGTTCCAGTTCTGGCCATGTGGTTCGTGAATAGTATGATTGCTTCCATGGTGTGTTTTGGAAGGAGTCAGACGTTAGGTTAATTTGTACTTGCAACTGACAAACTGAACCTCAGCTTAGCCTTTCTATATCTTATAGATGGATCGGCGTGATACTTCTGGATTTGTCAGCGGGGGTGCATTGTACACCTGTAGACATATCTAACCCTTAACTTTGTAGATAAACATCTATATCTTTTTTACCCTGAAGTCAGGAAGGTTGTTCTGTTAAATTCATAAATAGGAGTAGATATTGTTTCCTACAGTGGTTTCATTACTTTAATGGACGTGAGGTTGAAATCATTTTTGGGATTTGCTGCTAATCATTCTGCAAATGCATTCAAGATTTTGGGCAATTCTATGCAAGCTGAAGGAAGGGGAGCTGATCAGTATGGTACAGATACCATCTTACGACTTGATTCCCCTGGTTCTTCAATTCCCACCCATGTGCCCTCTCCTAAGGGAACAAAAAGGAAGTGGGATTTAATTGATGGATGTATGGGTCAAAGAGTCGACTCATCTTTGTCACTTGGGCTTGGGCGTTCAACCAGTTCCTCTGATAGCAAGGGTAGTTCGGCTGCTGCTTGCACAGCTGTGTCTTCAGCCAAAGATGTTGATGAGGAATCATCAATGGATATTGAACTGGACTTTTCTCTCCATCTTGGCTGTGAGAAGGTACAAAGCCAGAAGAAATTTGTTAATTCAAGTTTGAAGACACTGGAGCTGCAACCAAAATTTGATTTGGAATTAAGCCTTTCTACTGGGCCCTGTGAGTCAGATATTACAAGCATACATCTAAATCCTTCACCTCTTCAATTGAATATGGAGATGCCATTAGCGTTCAGTGGGACACAGAATGCAGACGAGGGATCAACTTCATGTAGTTGGAAGCCAGGGATTGTTTTGCCATCTTCAAAGACGGCATCAAATACAGGCACTAGTTTTCTTCTAAATCAGGCTTCAGAGCAGTTTGATCATAGTCCCGTTGTTCTGGATCTCTCGTCAACCAGACCTAAAAGTTCAGTTACCTGCACTTCTGGGCTTACACAGCAGCAACAGCCACTGCGCCCCAGTAATTCTAAAACATGTCAAGTGGAGGGATGCGGAAAGGGTGCCAGAGGAGCTTCTGGAAGATGTATATCTCACGGTGGGGGTAGGAGGTGTCAGAAACCTGGCTGCCACAAAGGAGCCGAGGGTCGCACGGTTTATTGCAAGGCACATGGAGGTGGCAGGCGATGTGAATTCCTTGGTTGCACAAAGAGTGCAGAAGGACGTACAGATTTCTGTATTGCCCATGGTGGTGGCCGGAGATGCAGTCATGAAGGCTGTACCCGGGCTGCCAGAGGGAAATCTGGATTGTGCATACGACATGGTGGTGGTAAGAGGTGCCAGAGAGAAAACTGCACCAAGAGTGCCGAAGGTTTATCAGGCCTTTGTATCTCACATGGTGGAGGTCGTCGATGCCAGGCTCCTGGATGTACAAAAGGGGCACAAGGGAGCACAATGTTTTGCAAAGCACATGGTGGGGGAAAACGGTGTACAGCACCAGGGTGCACCAAAGGCGCTGAGGGGAGCACCCCTTATTGCAAGGGCCATGGAGGGGGAAAACGCTGTACGTATCAGGGTGGTGGAGTATGTACTAAAAGTGTGCATGGAGGTACCAACTTCTGTGTGGCACATGGGGGTGGAAAGAGGTGTGCTGTACCAGGATGCACAAAAAGTGCTAGAGGAAGGACTGATCATTGTGTCCGCCATGGTGGAGGCAAGAGATGCAAGTTTGTAGGGTGTGGAAAGAGTGCTCAAGGCAGCACTGACTTTTGCAAAGCACATGGGGGAGGCAAGAGGTGCTCTTGGGGCCATCCTGGTTCAGAGTATGGTATTCAACAGGATGGTCCTTGCAATTCGTTTGCAAGGGGGAAAACAGGTATGTGTGCTCTTCATAGTGGGCTGGTGCATGATAAGAGGGTTCACGGAGGTATCTCACTGGCATCTGTTGTTCAGAATCCTCATTCGAGTAAAACAGATGAACTAAAACAGTTACTCGTTGACAAAAACATGGATATAGATATGATGAAAATAGGGAGTAGCCTTGGCTCGGCTGCAACCTGCTCTGACTTCAAGCAGTTTGAAGCTGTAACTGCTCATATCTCAGCCAAGGAAGGTGGTCACTTGCCAATGTCAGTTGCTGTTCCTGAAGGCAGGGTGCATGGTGGAAGTCTGATGGCAATGCTGACTGGGAGTTCTAGCCGTGGCACAAGCAGCGGGAGAAGTCTAGTTAGCGATCCATCCGAACCAATCAAAGGTTATTCCATGCCCCAGAATTGGATGGAAAGCTAGTTATCGTTTTCTTTCTCATTGTCTCCTTAGTTAACAAATTTTATCAGCATGTTACATTATTACTCCATTCTACGTTAGATTTTGACGAATTTAGTTATTCTTTTCTTCCTATGAAATTGAGTTGGGAGAATAACCAAGTCGTTTGAAAATCTCGTGGAGGGGATTTATCATGTTAGGAAATTGTACTTTGATCAGGTAGTTGGTGATGTTCTTTTTCACATTCTTCCTTCCTCTGTAAATATTACCTGTAATGTAAGTTCTGTCAGTGTGTCATGTATTCTATTTAATAATAAAACTTCACTGAGATTGTATTTGTTATAATAGTACTTATTTTTCAACACACGGTGATCCTCGAGTTTGACACCCATTTTACAGGATTAAGGGGCCTTATGAGGTTGCATTCACTTGCTAATTTGTGCTGATATCTTGTACCGTCTCTATATTTGCTGATAATTGTGTTCTGTTTTTCACCTTTAATCTATCAAGGTTGATTAATGGTCTTTAAGGTCTGTATTATTAGGTTCAGATATTAAATATAAATAAGGTGTACAACGAGCCATTTTAAAAATAACGTAGGTATTCAAATACTAAGAATATGTCAATATAAACGATGCAAGAGGCGTGATTTTTAACATCTAACACAAATGGTTTGCATTAACTGTATTATTTTTTTAATGCATCAAATTTGTTATCTTTAATTTAAAAATTCTATTTTCTTAGAGATAAACTATATTAATTTTTTTTTCTCTAATGCCAACGGTTCTTTTAACGCGATGTAAATAAAAAAAGTTACAAATTTATACTACGGATATGAAACTGTGCTTTGGATACTTTTATTTATGAACGTCAAAACTATATTCGAATTATTCATTTTCATCTTTTAATTTTTTTTAAATATTATGAATTAATTGTTGAAGATATGGAGACTTTAAATATTTAAAGTATTCTTGATAAAGTTGTTTACCTTCAAATACATTAAAATAGAGCGCATGTTATTATTTTATCAAAAGTAATCATAACTTTAAGAACAATACAATTTAAGAATTTACTGCTAAACGTTATTATATTTATATCTTAATTCATTTAAAAACATCAATAAAAACGACACTAAATAAGAATAACTTAATGTTAAAAGTCTAACTTTACTAAATTGTATCTTTTACAGGATTCTAATTAAAAGTATTATAAATTTTATTAAAGTAAAATTGTTAAACAACAAAAGTTACAACTACAAATCCGCGGTAACACTTTAGGACGGCATTGATGGATTTAAGTGCCTTACAGACAAAAGGTGCGGCATTACTGCCCTTTTATTTCTTTGTTTGCATAAAATAATTTTGATGTTTAAAATGCAGCATTAAAAACAGTTGTATCTTTTTGTACCGGGTGACTGATTTCGAGATTGAATGACTTGCTAGAAGCTATTTTGGACTCGTATGAGCAAAATGAGGAGTTTCATCAAACAATGTTCATGTATGAGTTCACTTCATTGAAGCTAGAATTTTGGCTGAAATACAATGAAAAATTACTGTTCAACTGAAGGTGGATGTACATGGGTCAAGCAAGATTTAAGATTAAGATTTAAAACACAACAACAAGTGAAGGATGTATAATACAATTTTCTCACTTAGAATACATATTTTTTTAACCTTTAAGCAAATACATCTTTTTAAAAGCAATTTTTAATTAATATATATAAATCATGTTTCTATTTAATTTTTATTTTACAATTTAAAATTTTTATGCAGTAGTGGTGAGATAGGTTAATGTGGGTTGAGACCTAAACATAGAACTTGTATCCAACTCTTTTGTATGGTATGAAATTTAAATTTTATTTTATTTTCAGCTTAAGTAAATCTTATTATTTTTGAAATATTATTATGATGGCTATATTATATTAGTGTAAACTAATGATATCTTATATATTAATATTAATTTAAAATATAATAAAACTATTTTAAAGTTTATATAAAATACTCATTCCGAGTAAGGAAAACAAAATAAAAACTAACATAAAATTATTTGTGCATTTCTTTTACTGGTCTTTAAAATTTATTTTTATTAGATTATAACTGACATTATAGTTATAGTTATTTATTACAACCTGCAATACAACCTACCAAAATAACTATCTTTGATCCAATTATGACATTTTAAAGCGGATTAAGAATAGTTATGATTAATATTCTTACTATTCTAGAGGAAGTATGTCACAAAACCTAATTTTTACTAGTGTGTGTGTGCGTTTTTTTTTTCTTTCAAGTATTAATTAACACAAGATGTTCATTAATTAATATCAATTAGTAATTAACAACCACGCACAGCAAAGTCCATCTTAGTCTTTGTGCCGGCCACCTAGTTTTAAACACTTAGTCTTCTTCTGACCAACCAAACATCGAACTCCGACCACCATAGTTCTCTTCATTGACCCTAGACCATGGGTAACTGCAGCAGCAGCAGCAACGGCGGCGGTGCCGCCTCCTCAACCACCACTTACTACGACGACCTTCCCCAGCGCAACGGCATCACCGTCCTACCTCCGAACACGAACCCTTCACCCCCACCCCCGAAGCCACAAGCGTCGTCCTCGCTGGGCCGGGTGCTGGGCCGTCCCATGGAGGATGTCCGGTCAATTTACATCTTCGGGCGCGAGCTGGGCCGCGGGCAGTTCGGCGTGACGTACCTGGTGACCCACAAGACCACGAAGGAGCAGTTCGCGTGCAAGTCGATCGCAACGCGCAAGCTCGTGAACCGCGACGACATCGACGACATCCGGCGCGAGGTCCAGATCATGCACCACCTCACCGGCCACCGCAACATCGTGGAGCTCAAGGGCGCCTACGAGGACCGCCACTCCGTCAATCTCATCATGGAGCTCTGCGCTGGCGGCGAGCTCTTCGACCGGATTATCACCAAGGGCCACTACTCCGAGCGCGCCGCCGCCAACTCCTGCCGCCAGATCGTGACGGTGGTGCATAATTGCCATTCCATGGGCGTGATGCACAGGGACTTGAAGCCCGAGAATTTCTTGCTGCTCAACAAGGACGATGATTCCCCTCTCAAGGCCACGGATTTTGGTCTCTCCGTCTTCTTCAAGCCAGGTTAGTTAGTTACTCTAATCTTCTGGTCACTGCTCATTGATTCTGCTTGTGTTGGGTTGTGTTTGGATAATTAGTCGGAGGAGGAGAAGAAGAAGTTAAGATGTTTTAATTCTTGAATTAAGTTTTTTCTCAATTTAAAATTAATTTATTTACCCATTAGAATAAGTTTTTTGAAAATGCCAAACAAGAAAACTCATAAATTAGGTAATGAATAAGCTAATCATAATTTATCATTGAAGCTGAGTTCATTTTAGTTTATTTATATAACCAGTTTCATTAACATTTATAGAAAAAAGAAGAAGAACTTTTCATGAGTAAAAATTAATCTATTCACTTAATTCTAGAAGCGTTCGCATTTAACTTTTTCAAAAGTTTACATGCTTGCGTTGATTTATTTTAAGAAACTTAATTTATTTTATATTCTTATTTTCTTTTTATCTCTTGCAAGTGTTTATTGTGAAATTTATTAGATTGTTGGGTTTTGAGAACAGGAGATGTGTTTAGAGACCTTGTTGGAAGTGCTTACTATGTTGCTCCTGAGGTGTTGAAAAGAAGTTATGGGCCTGAGGCTGATATTTGGAGTGCTGGGGTTATACTGTACATTCTGCTTTCTGGTGTTCCACCTTACTGGGCAGGTAGAACTCCTTCCTTTTTAACTCCCTCACTTTTATTTTTTTATGTCGAATTAAAACCATACCCCAAGGTTTCATGTTAAAGTTGTTGTTGTAATCTGTGATCCCTCAAAAGAACCTATGATTGTTTTGTTGAGCTCCGAAACGATTATGTTGGCACTTTACTGTGGAAGTTTTCTTTTCTCGTACCCTGATATTCTCAGTTTAGACCCTTCCAATGGTTTTCACTTTGTTTTTAATCTTTTATGTGAAGAAAATGAACAGGGTATCTTTGATGCTATTCTTCGTGGACATATTGATTTCGCATCGGATCCTTGGCCTTCCATATCAACTAGTGCTAAAGATCTGGTCAAGAAGATGCTACGTGCTGACCCTAAAGAACGACTTTCAGCAGTTGAAGTGCTAAGTAAGTTAAACTCTACTCATGAACATAACATTTTAGTTTTAATGCCAAATGTGCTTTATATTTTATTTTAATCTCACTGACACAGAAGAAGAGAGTCATTGTTTACCTTCATAGTGAGGTTCTGAACCTGTAGGATGGATTATGCCATGATTCAGTGAGGCCGAGATAGCTGCCGAGAAATAGGACATAAGGATATCCAAAACAGTTGTTATTTGATATATAGATCTGTGATATTGATAAGGACACTGGACTATTGGAAAGTGTGATTCGTTAAATAAAAAGAAAGAGAATGAGAATTAATTGTCACATCCAAAATACTTCAACCCCCCCTAAATAAAGTTATAAAGAATAAAAGTGTAGGTTAGGACCCATTGATTCTTTCTACTAATTCCTGGATTTACATTTTCTTCTTTTCTGGTTTATACTGTGCTCTTGTTTTGTCCCTCATTAGGATAAATTATTTGGTAGTTATGAACCAATGCTTGTCCTTGCCTGACCAATCTTCGTGACATGTATAATTACTTATTTAAGTATTTTATTTTAAATTTAATAACTTAAGTACACGTCACTTAAGCCTTGTTCTTTTGAGTGGATTTGAGGGAGTGGATTTGAGGGGATTTGAGAGGATTTATTTGAAGATAAATTTTTTTGTCGTTTATTTGAGTGAATTTGGAGTTAAATGAGACTGAATTTGGAAATAAAATTTGTGAGAATTAGTATAGAATTGTATTGACGTGACAAATTAAAAAAATTTATTTCCAAATTCACTCTCATTTACCTCCAAATTTACTCAAATAAACGACTAAAAAATTTATCTTCAAATCCTCTCAAATCCCCTCAAATCCATTCAAAAGAACATGACCTAGGAACCATAGAACAGCTGGTGGTCCAAACCACTTTATAACTTCCCCTACTTACACCTGTTTGATATAAGGATAGAGTTATTAGTGGGAGTTTATTCTGATTAATATTTTGCTTGAAAGTCAGATTGCCTCTTTTTCTCAAGCACTAACTCATCATAATCACATTCAAACTAAAACTCTCTTGGTAGTTTACTTATTTGAATGAATCCATCATAAATATTTAGTACATATTATTTTAATTTGGATTCACATAATAAGAATCATATATTTATCATATTATTTTAAAAAATTGTATATTTTTCAATATGTATATATCACGCTTTGAATCCTTTTATTTTCAAATTAAACATATTGCCGTTGTATCTAATACACATATAGTATCCATGCATCATAGATCTTAACATAATATGTTATATATGGTGCAGATCATCCCTGGATGAGAGTGGATGGAGATGCATCTGATAAGCCTCTTGATATTGCTGTTTTATCCAGAATGAAACAATTCCGAGCAATGAACAAACTAAAAAAAGTAGCCCTGAAGGTAAATCATCTTTTATCGTCATTTTTTTTGGTTCTCATCATGAACATCATCAAGTTTTTTGTAAAATATCTGCAAACTCCACTATATTAAAATCCTTTTGGATTAAGATAGTATGCGTTAATGGAAAATCCATAATATAAACAAATAAATATGTAGAGAAGGTCTTCATAGCTGACTTGATCAAAGGATAGATGCTTTTGTTTCTTTCAGTTAAGCTAATACTTTGGCTGCTAGTGAATCCGTCTCCTCATATGCCAATGTAACGATTCTAGTACTTTGGAAGCAGTATATTATTTAGTTAGCAATAAGATAGATCCGTCTTAAAGGAATTCGTTTCACACACACCTTCAAGACTTGGTTTCACACACACCCTCAGTGTCCACTATTCGGATTAAATGGCTAATGAAATGAATTTTATTAATTTATGAACTATTTGATTGCAGGTTATTGCTGAAAATCTTTCTGAAGAAGAAATTATCGGCTTGAAGGAAATGTTCAAATCCATGGATACAGATAACAGTGGAACAATCACATTTGAGGAGTTGAAAGCTGGTCTCCCAAAACTGGGTAGTAAACTTTCTGAGTCCGAAGTAAGGCAGTTGATGGAAGCGGTAAGATCAGTGTCCTCTTCTTTTTCGGTTGTAAGTTTTCTTATTGGTTCTTCCAAAAGATTTGCACTCCTTTGTTGATTACCTAATGAGAATGTTTGAAGTTTACACGATATCTCATCCTATCTCTAAATGTGACCTTAAATACTACCCAAAGTTTTGTCACCCAGCATGTTGTAAGAAATTGCTATTGTAACATGAACTGGCAGATACCCATTGTGGTTTGCTTCAATTTTTACTATTCAGACTCTTGTATCTCTGGTTCATTTCATCGCAGGTTAAAAGTAAATTGAGTAACCTAAACTTGGGTTGTTTGATGAACTTACCCTTCTTCTATAGTATCTCAAGTTAAATTTAGCAGATCATGGTGAACAGTTATATATTCTTTCATAAATGAAAGGTACTAGGAAGCAAGAAAGACTAAAAGGAAGAAATTAAGTATGAAAATATTTCTTCTGCAGTAACAGGTCTGAAAAAAGGGTGTTCAGATCCTGGTATGTTCTGTGTACACGGTTATGATAGTGTCTAGTCTCTCCCAGCCCAGGCCTAATTTAACCTACCTTATACATATCTTTCTTTACATACTCTCTCTCTCTCTCTGTACAACAAACTCAGGTGCATTTCACCTTTTCCCAATCGTTTCATACTCCTTAAGCATCTTGGGCCATGGGGCCACATCACTTAACTACTGGAGCTTGGCTCCCCATAGCTAAGTTAGTTTGTGTGTGAAATACCGTTAAACTCATTCTGTGCAAGCTCATCCTGTTTTGTTTATATCTGTATCAAAAACCTGGTTTGCATTTGTGATGCACTTATGCTAAACACATGGAGATATTCTCCCCATATCTAAGTATCTCTCCTAGCCCATGTACATACCTTATATACAGTTAGCTCTTTGTTTGCACTATTATTTCCTGTCCTGTAGATAATCATAAGCATGTAATCCTTTTTTGCACGTATAAAGAACTTGGTGCTTGATGCATCTATGTGCTGTGTGTAATAATCACCGAGACTGGAGATGCCAAGATGGATAATATTTTCATGGTTGCATGATATTGTAATCACTAGTCTGACACTTCTCTTGATTTTACTGATGTTTCTACATGATCGTAATTATTTGGTTCTCAGGCTGATGTAGATGGAAATGGAACCATTGATTACATTGAATTTATAACTGCTACCATGCACATGAATAGAATGGAAAGAGAGGATCATCTATATAAAGCCTTTGAATATTTTGACGATGATAAGAGCGGGTAATTTAATTTATTTTTCATTCATAATTTATACTATAGCAACATTATCACCTTAAATGTTGATTTTTGTGGTGGTTTTCTTCTTGTTGCTTCTGTTTAGTTACATCACAATGGAAGAGTTGGAATCTGCCCTCAAGAAGTACAACATGGGTGATGAGAAAACAATAAAGGAGATCATTGCTGAAGTTGATACTGACAATGTAGTTACTTTCCTTTTACTCTTTTTTGCTCCTTTATATATGTTTTTTTAGCATAATCACAATCACATGCAACAATAATGTCATTCTGGAAAATGCTGTAATTATATTGTTGGGTAATACTGCTTTCTTCTTTCTTTATAGAACAGGTCTAGAATTTTTCCTGTCTGTTGTTATCTAGAAAAGCTGTATTATCTCACAGGGAACAACATTGACGGTTGTCCTAGTTCCAAATTGTATAAGTTTATGCAGTGTTGTTTAATTATCCTTTGCAATATTAACTCTCAAATTTCTTGCAGGATGGAAGAATTAACTATGATGAGTTTGTAGCCATGATGAGGAAAGGCAACCCAGACATAAACCACATAACCCAAAGACGTCGCAAATAAGTTCTGCATTACTTTGTTGAGATCAGAGTCTTTACTCGTTTTAGTATTGCGGCCTGCTATTTGACTGGGCACTTACATGATATTTGTGGGTCTAGTTGCACCAGTTTTTTTCCCTACTGCACGAGCAGACATGAATGTGTTTTCTATTTTGTACAAATCCAAGAAAAAACAGATCCAACTTTTTTCTGTAGTGAGTTTAAGAATGTGCGATTTAGTTTCTCTTGGTTTACGCTGAGTGCTAACTTTGTATACCAGATAGATCCTACGGAGACCTATTCGTCTTATGAATAAAGTAATCTCAGAATGTGGATATGTCCCAAGGGCAGATCAGGTATACTTTGTAATTGAGTTAATTGATTCTTCAAGATGTGAATCATGGCCTGCAGTGTGAGAATATGGATATGCATTTTGTGTCTGCAGAGGTACTGGGAAACATAACGAGAGACCATGCAGAACAGTTTCTGTACTGTGATAACTCCTAATCTGCTTTGTAATCTCAAGGTTGGCCTTTCTCTGCTATTTGCCAACTTGTAACAATATCAGACTCTGAAAAGTGAAACAAAGTCAAAAACCAATACTAAAAAACAATTATAACAAAAGTGAACAAGTTAACAGAATTGATTTATGGTAAATTAATTGATGATTTGCCTTTTTCCATCTAATTATCTATGGATTTGTTTAACTTTGACCCCTTTTAGATTATGTTAATAACCCGTGCAGTTTATAATGTAATGAAATTAATTTTAAATATATAAGTATAAATTAACATATATTTAAATGAGCCTTGATTATGGTTTTTTATAAACATATTTAAGATTTTTTTTTCTAAAAGTATTTTAACTAGATTATCTCTGAACAGTAATGCCATTTCATGAAGTAGCAACATGAAGTAGCTACAAACATGCAGAGACAGGTATTAGCATTTTGAACAATGCTTCTTACACAAATTCCATCATACAGGCTTATGATTATCAATCATCATAATTTATGTCATTACGAATATTAGAACAAACATTCTCTAAACTATTTTTCATATTTATTGATAGCAAATTGTAATTTTATCAAAACATGTTATAGATGGAAATTGTCTTTTACCATTCTGAAAATTATATGACTGATGTCACGAGAATAAAGCTTAAAAAACTGAATTAAATAAAATATATTTTGCGAATAGTTTTGTTAAGTAAAATGAGATTAATTAAGATTACTTATACTGTAGACTGTTTAGTATATATGCCAATTTCACTTGTTAAAATTTGTGAAAATACTTTTACAAGAATAAATTATTTATGACATGGTCTCTCAAATATCAATATTAGGTTATTATGAGGGGATATATTTGATTCATTACTTCTTTCACTTCTAATTAAAAATCATTAAGTGTACAAGTTTATTGTTTTACATAATAATTATTTTATAATTATTATTTGTTCAATTTAACTTAAATTAAATTAACTTGCTCGAATTAGGTTATTTATTGACTGAATTTAATTTTTGTGAATGTGGACTATTGTTCAAGTAAACTTAAATAATCTAAATATGATTATAGTTGGTTTTCAGGAAGGTTGAATATGGTAAAATTAAATGAATAAGTGTACAAGATTATATTTGTGGTATTTATAGAAGTGTAGAATTAATTTTGGAAAAAAAAAGGGTTGAATCAATTTCTTAAAGACAACTCTTTAAATATGATTCCAGATGTCTCTATTTGTATGATTTTTTTTAGCTAATTTACACTGAATTAGTTAAAAATAATAAATTATCTAATTTTAATTATTTTAAAAATTATTCTTGCATATTATAAAATGAAGTAGTTGGGATAGATTTAATATTTATGATTCTTTATATTTTCAAATAAGAGAGATAAACTTTTTGTGATTTATTTTAAATATTTAATTAAGAGCGTTTTAAGAAAAACAAATCAATACATCATTCAGTTTAAATACAAATAATTTTCTGAAAAAAAATTATAAATAAGACGAGTATTATATATATTAAGAATTATTTCCAGGTTAACTTGCATCACCATTAATGATTTTGAATTAAAGGTAAAAGTTTAGACTATATATACAAATAATATAATAGTTTATATAAATTTTGTTTGTTTTTTAATGTAAATTGGGCCTAAATTGTAACTCAGACCAAGGAGTGTTTGGTTGAGATATTACAGGCACTTTTACTAGTACATCTTGCAATGGAAAAACTAAGTTTATTGCGTAAATAATAAAATAATCAAACACGGTCTACATTGGAGGCAATTTCGCGGTTCCAATACAGTTGGAGTGGATTTTTCCATTCCAAAAGCGAGCGCAACGAACTCTTGTTCTGTTTTCTTCTTCGCTATGAGCTCAGATGCGAGTAGAGAACGAGGTGCATCAACCGTGGTACATTGTCTCCTCTCTTTTTTCCCTCAATTCAAACATGGACTTAACCACAAAGTATATTACAAACGTTTTGCTATGCTTCTGGAACTTTCTTCGCCTGTTTTCCGTTTTTATCAGATTCGTTATTCTGAGAATCGATGGAATTCTAACGAATAAATGCGTATTGAATAAGCACTGTTTGTGTCGACGTAACGAGATAATGTGCGAAGTGAAAATGAGATTTGTTGTTTCAAACTCCGTCGTCAATCTAAACGTGGATAACTGGCCTGAAAACGGAATATGGTTTGGCTGTATAGTTTGAAAATTTGGAAGGCATATAAGCAATCACAGGCAAATATATTTTGCGTCAGAAAATGAGAAAGAGATGCGAGTTGTTGTGTGGAGAGTATGGTGAACGTATGCTACGTTGGTAGAAGCTTGGGAAATGAAAATGGAATTCTTCTTGAACACAATTTGCTACAGTATATCGTATGCTATATTGGTAGAAGCGTTTTATGCAATATTCGTGTTCTTCTTCATTTCTTTTGTCTTTTATTATTTGGTGGAAAACGAGCAAACTTATCATAGTTGTATGTATGCCTGCGCGGAAGAAAAGGAAATAGGAAAAAAAAGCATTAAATATCTATATAATCTATTATTTTGTTCATTGCTTTCCCTTTGAACCTAAATGTTATATTATTAAAAAACTTGAAGTCATATATGTTCATAATATTTT